GTGTGTGTCGATGTAATTTCAGGTGATCTTGGGAAGAACAAATAACATTGCAACTGTAAGCAGTAGCAAAAGAGACAACAGGTCTGTAGCACCCTCAATAGTCCTGAACAGTGCAAATACTATGGAAAAACATGAGTGGAAGAATGAGAATGCCCAGCATATGGACAGATTTTATAGGTGTTGTAGAAAACTCAATCATAGACTCACTACATAGAAGTGATGCTGTGAGAAAGAAAAAAATATTCTAGCAATCAAATATTTAAGCAACAGATCTGGATATTGATGAGAGACCTCTGTGTCACCCTGAAACTTCAATCTAAGGGCGTTATCACAATCCAGGAATCAAATTCAAGGCCAACAGAATTTGGTAAATTATTTTTTTTATCAGTTCTTTATGCAATCATACTTTTGATAAACAAGACAATTTGTTGCCTGCTTGTTTATGGTTTCAGCTGTAACGTTATTTCAGTGAACTTGATAGGAGGCTTCACTTGGAGAGGTGCAAACCGATCTTACTGATATATAATCATGCTTAAGCACCCTTAAGCATGTTGGGAAGCTTCTTATACTAATACTCCTGCAACAACATAGAATACAAACTGTTATTCATTGTAGTCAACATAAATGCACCTGTCTGTACTAGGAAGTATTGCCATAAAGACTCTGGATCTGATCACAGTACAAAGCGCAACATTTTAAGTATCAATGTACACAAGGAACAAGTAATAGGTTTATTCCATGCTAAAAATAAAAGAGCGAAAACACAATGTTTTACAGTAGCTGTGAAAAAGAGGAGGTTCCTTGACAGATACAGCAGGTGCACAATTAAATTGAATGCAAATTGACAGCTCCAACTGAAAGAATTGCCCTTTCCTTGGTTGATCAGAGGAAAAGAGCTTCCATCTGACAGATGCCTTAGACCAATAGATGTAAAAGGGATTTGACGGTCTCTGAGGAAGGTGAGCTACCAAATTCTACAGCCACATTTTAGAGACATGTGAGCCACTGAAGCAAATCATACGCAAAAAAGCTTTTAAAGTCCATCCAGAAGGTCACTGAACAGAATAAGGAACTCCAAGTTCCAAAGAAGATGATATCGTAGAGATAGCCTGAGGTCAAAGAACACGAACTACTGGAGTTATGTGAAATATGAGGTATGTGAAAATATATTGCAACTGGAGAGATGAGCTTTGTGTGCAGAATAGGGTAATCTTTAAAAAATAAAGGGTTGTTGTTCCAGCTTCATTCAGAAGAGACGTAACGCACAGAATTCAGTCATCAGGTATCACGATTTCATGGAGGGTTGCTTGAACAGAGCATGTGAATGTGTCTGTTGGCCAGGTATGGAGACACAACTGCAGTCATACATAGAACAATGCACCATCTGCAGTGGTTTTTCCTTTTGAAAAGTTATGAACAGATTAATTTGTATTTGATTACAGTGGACTAGTTCTAAACCTTTTTGGGAAACTATTTAAAGAACACAAAGGCAATTCTTAGAAAGTCTAAAATTTTGAAAGACATGGCATTCCAGATAGTGGTTTGGAACTCAGAGTAGTTTATAGTCTTCAGCAAAGTATGGCATTTCAGACCCAAAACATCATCATCGGGGTACCCAGAGAGTAATGGGAAGGTATAATTTGCAATTAAAACAGCAAAGAGGCCCATGGTCAAAGGAAAGAGAGCTGGATCAGATCAGTACATTGCTGGAACACAGATACACCACCATGCAGGGATCAGACGGCAACCCAGCTATGTTACTGAAGAAGCAGCCAAAATGAATATATCGTTATAAATAGGGGGTTAAGAAAATGGAGAATACAACAAAATACCAGAAAAAGACTGAGCATCTTAATTAACAATTAAAATATGAATAAAATCATAAAATAAATAATCATAAGCACCATATTGTAATGATTCGTCCAATTGTAGCAATGCGGGAATTAGAGAAGCCGTGGAAAGTACCGGTATAATTCAACGTCCCGTCTGAAGGGGCATAAGTGTGGTTAACAAGAACCAGGAGAAAACAAAACAAAAAGTAAAAATACAAAAATGTACCATTAAGTAAGTGCGGCACTGCACCATAATGTAGAGTGGTGCCCAGACTGGACTTACCCTATCTAATGGGGTCCAGCCTGGAAAAAAACTCTGCTTGGTGGTGGGGACCAGACTGGATTTACCCTAGTTAAAGGGGTCCAGTCTGGGAGAGCAGGCAGGGAGCACAAGGCCAAAATAAAAATTCAAAATGTGGAAAAAGGTCAGCCTGTCCCAGTAGACATACAGGCTTAAAGAAAAAGGGACAGGCTAAAAGAAAATAAAAAGAAATACAGCCTCATGCTCGGGTACAATCACCTCTGGGTCTGCCGGTGTAATGATCCTCCCACTCCGGGGGTGCCCTGCTCGTCCTTCAGGAGGTGTACAGTGTGCCTTTAAAGAGCCTTCACAGCTGCGGCTCATTCATTCACACTGAACACTTCCCTCGCATGTAGTGCCACACAATTTTTACTTAAATTTACTCCAGGCACCCAAATTCTGGCACAGTTTTGTTGAAAAGAGTAATAAATTGGTCACACGGGGTTAAACAAATATTAACAATGACAGTGACACACTAAACAACACATAAGACAAAACACAACATACAATTTACTCTACAAACATGACATAATGACTAACAGGCCAAAAGTAGGGATAATTAACGTGCATTCTATACCATACAAAATCTAATCTAGAGTTAAATCTGGATGCTACAAAATACATGGAAATCTATTCTAAAAATGCATCCAATGACCAGTAGAGACCATTTTTAACCAGAAATCAGAGTTTACTAAGAACAACAAAATAGCAAGACCCTTAATTATTTACCAAAAATTTAATCAACCAAAGTAAACAGGATTCCTTTGATCAATGTGCCTCAGACCCAATGCAACTCTGTTATCACTTCAGTTTCTTTCTTGCTTTGAAGAGAACCAGAAATGTTGACACTAGCTACAGTAGGTGTTTGACTACCTCCCACCTAACTGTAACAATATGAAAGAAAACAGCTTCCTTTTTTAGGATTTTTCAAAACTTATTAGATCTCTTTTAGATTAAGGAAAGTATTGAAAGTGGTAGATCTGTGTTGAGCAAATGGCCTTTTGTTACTCTTTACCCTTTACAGTAATGGGGTTACATAATAGGGCAAAAGTCATATATTTTTAGGAGAGAGTGTTTTTTTTGCCATATCCAAACTCCTTGTATCTAAAGTAGACATTATGATTGTCAGGATTTTTTCTAATAAATAGGAACTTTATAGGAATAAAACATTCCTTTGGAAAGATATTGAATTAAATAAAAGTAGAATGTGAAATAGAAATAGCAGAATCAGTATATATATTTATATTTACTAAAGTGGTGTAGTGAAAACACTAGGGGGCACAAGTGATCTTTTGAAAAATGTAGTGACTGTGAAGCATTTCAAAAGGAGCACTATTTTTTCATGAATTAAAAAATAAAATGGTTATTGTTAAACATATTTAGGCTTTTAGTTTTCCCAGAGTAGGAGTTGATGTTTTAATTGAGGATTTTTTTTTCAGTGTCAGCTAAACATTAAAAGCCCCACCAACACACACAGATCAAATGTCAGTTGTTTTTGTTGTTTATGAATATTCCAAGATATATCATGGTCAATGGGATAGTAATCTTTTTAAATTTTAATATACATTATGTGTTAAGAATGCTTTTTAACAGCTGTTAATGTTGCTAGTGATTTTACAGTTAGGATAATATAGTGAATTACTTTAAAAAAAAGTATTGTATAATGTTAACAAAAATGTGAAGAAGCATGCTATGCTTGTAGTGCACCTTAAATTCAGATACGTGCTTTATATGCTTATTTACTAATTTGTAAATGTAATCTGTCAGAACTATTTACAGGATGATAGTTACTGTCTGACAAATAAGTTATTTTTTACAAAAAATTGTAAAAATATAGTTACACTTGCTAGAAATCAGTATTTGATGTACATTTTATTTAATTTGCACATGGTGTCATTTATTGGTAATATTAATACGCTGTAGTTTAAACTTATGATACATAAGCAATTAATTGAATGTTCATAAAGTACCCAATTAGACCCTAATAACAGAAAATACTAACCTCCAAAGTAATTGTCTTAGTGAATGTTTTGCCAAAGCTGTTGCCATAGTAACTGTTTGCCATGCTTTGCAGATGTGCTTTGATGAGGGATGTCCATGAACTGCCTTGTAATATAGCTGCCATGTCAACTGCAGCCCTTTTTCTTGCACCATGTTTCAATATTTATTTTTGTTCTTCTCAGATTTTTAAAAATGTGTTCTACTTGCATTTCTTCCTTTGTTTTTTATTTATCTCTGAAATCATGTTCAAATTAATTTATGTTTCTGGTTCAGAGTGAAGCCATGTTCAATAGCTGACTGCTTTTTTTAGCTGAGATTCACTCAAAAAATGAAAGGTCTTGCAAATTGGAACAAAAAAGACATTCACGTGCATTATTTCTTGCTATACATGTGCAGGGTGATAAAACTGAACACTAATTTTTCCTAAACAGAATAAGACATAGCAAAATGAGAGACACAATGTTTCAAGATCATAATAAGCCTCTTAGTGTGTTGTAAAATCTTTCATGTCTTCCTCAATGTAAAGCGAAAATAAGACAAGATGTATTGCTGTCAGAAACAATTTTATGTGAATCTAAGGTTTGATGATATTCCAATTAGATTCTTTCTAGAAGGGAATTGTTTATCTCTTCTTAAATGGTGCTGCCTGCTTCACCTTTTGCCTTACAGGTTCTGAGATACTTTAAATTCATCTGCAAAGAAAATCTAAAATCTGTCCACAGCACCACTCACAATTTGCCTTTGATGAAGCTCAGGTTAAATAATGAAACCTTGACCCATAACTGTCAGAGTGCAGTTGGACAGTGTAACCTTGAGGATTAAGAATGCTGGGATGTGATTAACAGTTTTTTTTCTTTTTCTTCCAGTTTCTTCACAGAGTAATAGATGGTGTGTGTGGGCGAGATCCTCCTCGACTGCATGACTACAGCAGTGTTTGGAGCTTGAGGGAATGGCTGGAGTTAGTCGATACACTTTCTTCAATATTCAGAACAGCGATTGGAAAGAAAATGTCTGACGAGGAGGTGAGAATATCAGTATTATTTTTAGCATTGCTAATTATTTTCCAGTTACAAACCCTCAGTTGGTATCCAGCAGTTGGCCTTGACAGTCAGCACAAGAGAGATGAAGGGTAGGTGCTTTAGTTTTCTGAAATGTGCAGGGTCACACCACCTGCTTTGCAAAGCAAATCATCAAGTTAAAAGTAGTGGAATCAGAGATGTAGGGCCCAACCTTGCTGGAAAAGGAGGCCTTTATGTTTTAAGCCATTTGGGAGTCCTGCTGAATAAAATTGAAAAAGGATTCAAAATTTGTGTCATAATAAGCCAGATTGAACCACCTGAAAAAGCTTGAAAAACCTGTGCATGTGTAGTTCATTAAGATTTTTATTTTCTCTGATTAGTACAGCCCCCTGTCTAGTTTTTAAAAAAGAACAAACAGAAACAGTAATGGAAGGTGCTAGTAAACACCAACTTGAAATGTTGGATGTGCTGCTGGAAAGGCTTAGCAACATAGTGATTAGGATGCAGAACGCAGAGTGCTCACTGGAACTATATTACTGTTGTGAAGGCAGGTGTGCATTCAAACTAACCATTGAACTAGCAGACTGAATCATTTCCAGCAGGGGCCCATCTTCCTGGCTTAGAGGTGAAACAACCACTGTGTGATCACTAAACCTGAAAGAATCAGCTCTGTTTCTTCTCAGAGTATATGATTGCCAAGAAGTAATTATTTCCAAAGATACAAATTTGATCACTTAAATCTTCACAATGAAATAAGTTCGTTGTTCCTGGTCCCTCGATACACATTTTGGGAGTGTTCTGTAATAAAGCACTTTTGGGTGTATTCTTCTAAAGTGCTTTCAAATATGACTGCTATGACTGAGTGACTGAGCACCTGACTGCTCTTGCTTAATGATGACTCTCCAGTTACTGTTGGAGTCTTTTGCTGGTGGGGTATACTGCAATTGCAGCCAAAAAAAATCTAATGAGGTTGTTTGGCAGCTGAGATACCCTTGAAGTGATGGCTAATGGCTTGCAAAATGTTTAAACGGTTGCATTCATTTGCAGAAATTTTCTTATGCACAGTGTGACTTGGATACACTTACAGTATGCCTGTGGTACTAGTTCTCTAATAAATGCCATAACAAAGTACAAAGGTCCTTAACTATTATAACAGAAGCCAAAATGATCAAATTCCACAATGATCAAATGCCTTTTCTTCAGAACATATTTTTTCCCTTCATTTCAGTTTACTTTGAGGGTATGTTTCTGTTCTCCTCTCTCTAAACTAGTGTTCATTCTGTTGTCCTTCTGTGGTCTTTGTGAATCCCAAGAGGAGTGGACCAGCTGCTTTTCTGCTCAACACTATTTTTTGCCCTTTTTTTAACGAGTTTGAACACATGCACACAAATAGATTGCACAGTATAAGGTATAGTAGGAAATCATAGGATACCAATAATAATAGAAAAAAAAATATGACCGTACTGTACATTTAGTGTGCTGGTATTAATGGCAAACTGGCGATGCTAAGTGCATAGTTAACTATATACAGTACTATAGTAAAGTGTAGGGTTTGGGGGCTCTGTTAACCATGCCAGGACTACCACTGTAAGAAATCACTGTAGCAGCTGGCTTACAGTCATGCTGTTTGGAGTGTAACTGCTTGTCTACAGATGCTCAAAACCATGCCACTGTGCCTGTCATTTTGTCACCCAGAACCCTGTCAACCCTATAAACCTTTAGTTCTGTTCTCAGAGTGAAACTTTCCTTTGCCTTGTCTATGTTCTTGCAGGAAGCTATTCTTTCTTGTGTTGCTTCTGTCAATTATTAATTAGTCACATTACTCAATTGTCTTGACACAGATAGTTAGGAGTGTTTTGGAAAATGAGGACAGCTTAATTTATTTGAGTTTAATGCATTTTTTTCTCTCTGCCATTTTACTTATGAAACTGTATTTGATGTACACCTGTGACAATCGGTTATTTTCCCAGAACACAATGCCTGCATTATATTTAAAATGAGTATAGTTTTAAGATTTTTTGTAGTAATGACAGAAATTTAGTTTCACATTTGTCAAAGTATTTGTTTTACATATAAACTTTAGGCTAGGGTATTTTTAATAGAAATTAGAGATCTAAATTTAAATATAGATTTAAATACAGACATAGCATAACAGATATTTCTGAATGTACTGATTATCTGGAAAATGTCTTTATCTTTGCCTTGCTGAAGAAGTTAAATAGCTATAGCTGTAAACAGAAATGTGGCTGCACTGCGCTAACAAAATCTTTAGACAATACTGATTTAAAATACACATTGTTGCAATAAAATGAAAATCGAATTATTGTGTGTGTTAAATGTGTAGGTGCAGCAATCAATAAACTGGCTTGACATCGGCTATCAAGAAGCAATTCTGACTTGCCTGAAGGGCAGAAAGGAGGAAATCCGACAAGCATTGGTTGAAAAAACAAATGCAATTTCTTCAACACAGCTGCAGGACTTTGACTGGCAGATAAAGGTAGGATATAGGTTTTGAACTGTTAGTAATTTTAAAATGGAGCATGTGTTGTGTACATAGTGGAAGCACAATAAGAAGCATTGACTGCTGGGTTAATGTTGTTGTTTTCTTTTCATACTGCAGATTTTGTATGGCTTATAAAAATGGCGTGTTTTTAAAAAGGTTATATTCATCTCTTCTCAAATTGATTATATTGATTTCACAAGCTAACTAAAGGTCTCCATATTAAGGGCTGGGGTAAACATGTTATGCTGCAAGCATCTAACGCTATAGTTTACACTTCTCAGGAAATTGTAAACACTGCAGAGACCTGAATGTTCGGGAAAAGAGCACGCAGTGGGAACAGATGTTAAGTGGATATTATTGTGCTGATTGTTCCAGTCTGCTTGACATGCAGAGTTGCCCAGCCAAATTTAGCATTATGCAGATCTACGGTGTTTAAATGGGCAAGTAATAATGCAACAGTAATGTTTTTGAACAGCTTTGTTTTCAGAAAATGACACAGCTTTGAAAAATAGTTTTCTGTATCTGAAGGGATTTTACCACTTGCAACAATTGCTTGTCATTTTTGTTTGTTGTTTTAGGTCTGGGTTGAACTCGGGATCGTATTTAAAATACTATCCTGACAGTTTCAGTCTTTAGGGAACTAGTGGTGTGCATCGTGCTGCCATTGCATTACACGTACAGCTCCTAATGAATAATTCAGGCAATGTAAAGCATTCATTAGTGCTGGATGCTGTTTATCTGGCTAATTTTAAATGCAGTGTCTGTGCTAATTGCTGATGATTTTAGGTAAGAAATAGTATAACATTGAAGCTTATCAAAACTCCATTGGATATCTTTCATTGGAGATGATCATAGTCGGATATACTTGGATTTGACAAGACCAGCAGTTAAATAAATATTTGTAAATGCTGTTTTTTGCATTATTGTTTAAAAATGTATTAATATGGTGCCAGTCTTCTAGTTAATATAGAGTAGAAAATGTATAAAGTAGTGAAGTCAGTCAACTTCACTACAGATAAGAATGAGAATATTCATGTTTTCTGAGCCCTTCTGTAGAAAGAGCTTGTGATAATTATTAGACAGATTATAACAGTTATAATAATAGTTAAAGTATAAATGTGTGCACCTAAATGAATAACAGAAAAAGATAAATGTTGAAATAGTGCCAATGTAAGGTAACTGGTATTATATCTTTCATACCGTTATCTTTCATTGGCATTAAATATATTTCCTAAATAAAATTGTATATTCACAAAGCTGCTTTGCATCTTAAAAAGCTTGTGTAGTTCAGGTGAATTTAAATGTGAGATATAGTATTAAATTAATGCATATTACTGTTAGTAATATATTCTGTTAGTGCTATGCTGTGCTGTTACTGCTGTTACTGCTATGTGTAGCATTTCACACAAAGCAGCCTTAATTACATTATTATGTACTGTGTGTACCATGATAGATACAGTGGGTATAGAAAGTCACCACCCCCTTTCAAAATGTTCACCTTTTGTTTCCCTAAAGTCCCAAAAGAAGACAAATAAAATCCAACCTTTTCCAGTTTTATTTACAAATTGTACCCTGCAACATCCAAGTAAAAAAAGAAAACAACATTTCTGGGAAAAAAAAATAACTGGGTTGAATAACCTCTCCCACCCTGAGTTAATACTTGGTAGAAGCATCGTTTTCTTGAATTACAGCCTTGAGACTGCTTGGATACATCTCTACCAACTTTGCACACCTAGAGGTTGGAATATTTACCCATTCCACCTTATGATTAGGCCACTCAAGTACATTCACATTCCTATCTTTTAGCCACTGTGTGGTTGCTTTGGCGGTGTGCTTTGGGTCATAGTCATGTTGAAAGGTGAACCATCTTCCCATTTTCAACTTCCTGGCTGAGGGCTGCAGGTTTTCTTCAAGAATTTCCCTTCTATCCTGACAAGTCCCCCAGTCCTAGCTGAAGAGAAACACCCCCACAACAGGATGCTGCCACCACCATGCTTTACTGTAGGAATGGTGTTCTTTAGATGGTAAGATCTGTTGGGTTTTTGCCAGATGTAGTTTTGCATTAAGGCCAAAAAGTTCGTTTTTGGTCTCACTTGGCCACAGAACCTTTAAGATGCTTTTTAGCAAAACATAAACACAATACTTGATGTGGCTTTTTTTAAGGAGTGGCTTTATTCTTGCCACCCTCCCATACAGGTCAGATTTGTGGAGTGCTTGTGATGTTGTTGTCACAGGCACACAATGACCAGTCTTTGCCATAAAAGCCTGTAGCTCCTTCAAAGTTGCCATTGGCCTCTTGGTAGCCTCTCGGATCAGTCTCCTTCTTGATTGGTCATCCAATTTGGAGGGACGGCCTGATCTAGGCAAGGTCTGGGTGGTGCCATACGCCTTCCACTTCTTAATGATGGTCTTGACTGTGCTCTATGGGATACTTAAAGGCTTTGAAATCTTTTTATATCCATCTCATGACTTGTGCCTTTCTATAACTTCATCTCGAAGTTCTTTTGAAAACACCTTTCTGCCCATAGTCAGTTCTTTGCTTTGAAATGCACTTCCAAGCACTGGAATCCTCTAGAAACAGCTGCTTTTATTCTGAACTAATCAAAAATCACCACAATTGATCACAGGTGGGAGCCAATTAGTTTGTTGTATGACCTGTAAGGTGATTGGTTATTCCTGAGCAAGTTTACAAATGCAATTGTAAGGGGTGTTCACTTATCCAAATAAGGTATTATTAATAAGGTATTTTACAGTTGTAATATTAATTTTCAGAATGTTCTAGAATTTTATTTTCACTTGGCTAATGTGGGTTACTATGTGTAAATAAAAATGGAACAAGTCTAATTGAATTTGTTTTTATTTTCAGTGTCATACAACAAAAGGTACACATTTTGAAAGGGGGTGGTGACTTTCTATACCCACTGTATATACTGTATTATTAATCCTTTGAAAATAAGAGATACATTCCGTGTAAGTTGGAACTAGGCCTGTGTCAATACTTTTGAGAAATACTGTCAAATACTGTACGTTTTAAATTGAATTTACAAGGACTAAAATGTTAGTTCTTGGACAAAATACCTTATGACTTATACTTGAAAAGTAACAGTTATCTGGTATATGTAAAGATGCATTTGCAAACTATATCTGTATGGCAATATCTGTATGATATTGTGTTTGAATGACTTCAGATGCTTAATTCATACATGTCAGTTGGTGGAATTTCTACACCTCACAATTTATCAGATACAGTTGACTTTGCTCATTTCATTTTTTTAATTTCCATGCATGTAGTCACTTCATTTTTTCCAACTCTAAACATATTTCAAATAAAAATACACAGTATATTTTAATAACATATCTCTCTGTATTTCAAATCCTGAAATACTTAAAGAACTGTATTTGGTCCAGGTCTGTTTGGAAATACAGAGTACCCGTAAGCTTGAGTAAAGCATCTATCATTATAGAGTTTATAATTCTTCTTCATTATCATTTTGTTATTATTACAAAAATAATGGCAGGTAATAACTAATGTAACCAATTGCAATGAGATAGATGGTTATAATTGCACAATAATGATTATCGAATCAATCATATAAATGAAGTAAGATAAAAACTATTATATAAGATTATTAATTTAATTTCTATACAAGAAAATTAAAGATTAATTGAAAGTCAGGGAATGCCAAGAATTATGTACAGTAGCATTATGTACAGTTCTTTTATACTCTCGAACAGCTTGATAAAAGAATAATGACCAGGATTAAGATAATTTTTTTTAAATAATCAATAACACAGTTATGCAACACTTTATAAACATTATGAACAGATATATACAGGTCATTGAGTAATCAGTGTTTTTCCCAAATGTCAAAAGCAGTGATATCTTCACCTAGTGCAAAGCATGCTTTATTGAAATGATTTCTTGGACTAAACTTGCAAACTTTCATTAATTTAAGTATATTATTTATCAATGTAAGCATAAATTTATAATATATTGCATGCAGTTGCCACCAAAACACTAGTAATTGGGTATTCAGAAAAATGTGTTTTTGTAGTTTAATAGAAATAAATATTTATTTTCTTTATGCAGCTTTCAAATTTCTTCAAAAACACAAATTGTTATATAGAACGGATACTATTTTTTATATTGAAAACGGAGTGTATTCTCAACTATTGGTGAGACTGTATGAAGATGGATGGTTGCCCCAAAAGAGTACAGTGCCTAACAAAAGTATTCCACCCCCTTGGACTTTTTACATTTTATTGTATTACAATAAGGATTCATGATATATTTAACTGGGAGATTTTACTATTGATTGACAGAAATCAGATATCTCTAATATTGAAGTGAATACAAAATTCCTACAGATCCTCTTAAATTGATTATACAGATGCAGCCATTCAAAATGCGCATGCGATACCGCATTATTTTGCGGTGCGCTTTACGCGGTCTACCGCGAGTTACCGTAAACTCTCCTATAATACCGCAATTAAAATAAAAGTATCCGGAATTTCCGCAAGGTGGACCTAGTAAAGCTCAACCTCTCATGTTTGAGCTGTTGATATCAAAGTCTTTAACGAAGATATTACTAATAGT